TACAAGATCCTTATCTCGGAAGTGTCAACATTTCATTTTCTATTATTTCTTCTTCTAGATATACATCGCATACTTTATAGTTTCTCATCGTACAAAATCAAATTCGGACAATTCGATGTGAGTAGGGCTTCTGTCTGAATATCGACTACTAACTCGACGAGGGAACGGTTCCTTCTAACTGATTGTCTGTTTAAGTATGAGTTCTGAACAAAGTGGAACCGTCTACACACCTATAGAACCAACGACGAACAACAATGACGACACAGTCTCGCTTGATCAAATTATATCAGCTGGCTTTATTACTACCAGTCAAGCATCGATACATTTGAACACAACGAATATGATTCCGAGCCAAGTTCCCACGGTCTCCGAGGTGTTGAGAGCAGAATTCTTGGGAAGACGACGGGAAGCACGGCGAAGACAGCGTCAACGCCGAGCACAGCAGAGACAACAACGAAGCACAAGCACTCGACGACAACGCCGAGCACAACGATATGAACAAATACTGATTGAACGGGAAACTCGTTGGCACGAGGAATTCAGCGAACGCCAACGACGAAAAGCAGAAGAACGAGCTCATGAAGACTATTTGCGAAGACGATCTCCTACTTTTGACGAACGCCTAGAGGAGATCATTCAGGAACAACTGATAGATGTATACGAATGGGAAAAGATGACATCCAAAGAGCGTTGGGAAAACGCGCAAGCAGAAGAATTGGAAGGTATTGCTGCTTTGGAGCAGTTAGCCTTAGTACACGATGAGATCGAGCAATCACAAATTATCCACGAACTCGAGAGATCGGAAGAAGACGAACTACGAGAACGAAAGCAAAGGGAAGAACTTCGCGATCAACACCATGTGTGTCTGTTAGAATCAACTTCCACACAGCGATCCATGAATTCAACATTGGATCCTATCGAACAGGAGCAACAGATCCATCTGCTCGAAAGCTCACAGGAAGCCCGACAGCAAACACCAGATGACTACGACCAGCTACAGTTGCAAGAATGGGAGAGAGGTGCATCTCAACACTATCACTATGATCGGAACCCATGCCCTGGGCTATTTCAGAAATAAAGTGCCTGAATACACTCGACGAAAAACTGCTTCTATCACTCAGTCTCTTTCTCCTTGCATTTCATTCTCACTCAGATTCAACTGGCTACTTCTCGTACTCTTTTCAGGCCTACTTATACCCTCGACTACAGAAGTCATTCGGAGAACCCAGCTCGAAAATCACCATTCAAAAGCCGAGATCCCGGACAAAACAAAACAAAATGAACCGTGCCATAGCCAACTAAGGTAAGTAGCGACCATTCCACGCTAAAGTATACCAAGATGATCGAAACTCACCAGCTACAGAACACCCCCGCCTGAGACTCTCTACTAATGCAAAAAAAAATCCATTGAGATTCGAGCGGAAACGAGCACCTATCTTGAACCAAATTCT